AAATGGAGTTCAAGAGATCCCTCATTTTTCAGAAGCAATGAAGTTACCAAGAGAGTGAAAAATGAGGAGAGTGGGGTTAAGCTAACATTAAAATTAGATAAATAAGAAACATGTTGGATTGTTATTTTATATTATGGATCTGGCCATGCTCCTTTTTTTTTAATTAACTTTTATTTAAAGCAATTCTATTACTGTACCAATAGCCATCAAACAGAATGTTTTTTTCAACTGTTTAATGAAACATAGCTCAAAATTTCAGTCTACATTGTTAATACTTGCTCATCAGAGTGAAACGCAATGTCTTGCATCTTTTTTCCCCCTCTATATCTCTTTTATAAGGTATGTTACAGAAGGGAGACAGAACAATGAACTGAAATGTGAGCATTTTACATTTTTCTTTTTTAAAATAACTTTTTAGAGCTCCAAAAACAAACCAAATTGACAGCCTGGAGAAGAAAGTCCTCTCTTTAGCTACAAGCGTCCCAGGTCTTTGCAAGTGGGAGCTATGTGAGTGTACTAGACTGGGATGCTGAAGAGCTGTGTTCTAGTCTATCTCTGCTACTGCTCTGGAGGTTGACCGTGGACAAGGTCCCTATAGCAGTAGGGATACTTTATTGACCACCTGCCCAGGACAATGATAGTGACTATGAAATGCTAAGGGTGATTAGAGAAGATATCTGAAACAACTCAATAATAGTGGGGGATTTCAACTATCTACATATTGACTGGGTAAATGTCACCTCAGGATGGGATGCAGAGATAAAATGCATTGATACCTTAAATGACTTGGAGCAGCTGGTTCTGGAACCCACAAGGGGAAAGGTAATTCTTGATTTAGTTCTAAGTGGAGTGCAAGATCTGGTCCAAGAGGTAAATATAACTGGACCACTTGGAAATAGTGACCATAATGTAATAATATTTAACATCCCTGTTGTGGGGAAAACACCTCAATAGCCCAACACTATAGCATTTAATTTCAGAAAGGGGAACTACACAAAAATGAGGTTAGTTAAACAGAAATTAAAAGGCACAGTGACAAAAGTAAAATCCCTGTAAGCTATATGGAAACTTTTCAAAGACACAATAATAGAAGTCCAACTTAAATGTATATTCCAAACTAAAAAACATAGAGAACCCCCCCAAAAAATGCCACCATGGCTTAACAATCAGATAAAAGGAGCAGTGACAGATAAAACGATATCTTTTAAAAAGTGGAAGTCAAATCCCAGTGAGGAAAATAGAAAGGAGCATAAACTCTGTCAGATTAAGTGTAAAAATATAATAAAAAAGCCAAAAAGGAGTTTGAAGAACAGCTAGCCAAAAACCCAAAAAATAATAGCAAAATGTTTTTAAAGTACATCAGAATCAGGAAGCCTGCTTGTCATAATCAGGAGTGCTGACCAGCACTTGGTTACTAAGGGGTTAACTAATGTCTCCTGTGCCTAGTCAGGTGTTGGCTGGTCAGCCAATAACAATGCAGGTAGGAATTTCAAACTGGAAGAGAGGGATTTTCTCTCTGTGTCCTTTGTTTGAGTTTTAGTGCAGTTCCTTCCGAGTACTAAGGGAAATGGGAGGTGCTCCTCTCTCCAGGAATGGACTTCTTACAATGTGTAAGTAGGGAAAAGTTTAGCTAATCCATCAGGATTTATTGTTTTCCTTGTTTGGGGATGTCTGACAATAATGTCTGAGTTTTTTTTTTTTTTTTTGTAGCTAAGTCCTTAGACCAGGGATTTTCCCTGAGTATCTATATCAAATGGTGGCTCTTTCCATCTAGCCAATTTACTATGCTTGCAACTGTAGTTTTGTTTTGATAATGACTGATTGTTTCTTTTTTTCTAATTAGCTGGCATTGGTTGATTTTTTTGTGTCATGAGAGGTCTCTCTGTGTGTATCTGCATGCTTGACTGAGGGGTCAATGACCACAGACTGCAGCTTGTTTTTCTCTTTTCTTTTTAAAGCTTTTGTTGGGGGAAAGATCTTGTGGTACCTCTGGGGTTCATTTCAAGTGTCCACCCCTGTTTGTGGGTTCAAAAGCACTTGATGGTGGCACTGGATTCCCCAAAATCTGGATATTAGGATTCTGGGGAGAGTTTTTGTACCAGAGACTATAGAGGCAAGATTTTGGAGTGCTCTTGTGGGCCCCCAACTTCTGCATTCATCATGCCAGAGTGAAGAACAGCCTTGATATTGCTAAACAACCATTGGGACCCTTGGATGATCAAAATGCTGAAAGAGCACTCAAAGATGTTAATGTCATTGCAAAGAAATTAAACAATTTTTTTGCTTAGGTCTTCATGGCTGAGCATATTGTAGAGATTCCCAAACCTGAGCCAAACTTTTTAGGTGACAAAACTGAGGAATTGTCCCATATTGAGGTGTCATTAGAGGAAGTTTTGGAACAAATGGATAAACTTAACAGTAACAAGTTACCGGGACCAGATGGCATTTGCCCAAGAATTCTGAAAGAACTCAAATGTGAAAAAGTGGAACTATTAACTGTGGTTTATAATGTATCCTTTGAACCAGCATTTGTACTTAATGACTGGAAGGTAGCTAACATGACACCAATATTTAAAAAGGGCTCTAGAGGTGATCCTGGCAATTACAGACCAGTAAGTCTAATGTCAGTACTGGGCAAATTAGCTCAAATTATAATAAAGAATAAAATTGTTAGACATTTAGATGAACATAATTTATTGGGCAAAAGCCAACATGATTTCTGTAAAGGGAAATCATGCCTTACTAATCTACAGGGCTGCGTCTAGACTGGCATGATTTTGCAGAAATACTTTTAACGGAAAAGTTTTTCCGCTAAAAGTATTTCCGCGAAAGAGCGTCTAGATTGGCACGGATGCTTTTGCACAAAAAGTGCTTTTGTGCAAAAGCATCTGTGCCCGGCATAGATGCACTTTTGTGCAAGAAAGCTGATGGCCATTTTAGCCATCGGGCTTTCTTGCGCAAAAAATTAAGGTGCCTATCTACACTGTCCCTCTTGCGTAAGTATTCTTGCGCAAGAGGGCTTATCCCTGCGTGGGAGCATCAAAGTATTTGCACAAGAAGCACTGATTTTGTACATTACAAAGTCAGTGCTCTTGCACAAATTCAAGCGGCCAGTGTAGAGAGCTGGCAAGTTTTTGTGCAAAAGCTTCTGCTTTTACGCAAAATCTTGCCAGTCTAGACACACCCCAGGAGTTCTTTCAGGGGTCAACACATATGTGGACAAGGGGATCCAGTAGATACAGTATACTTAGATTTCAGAAAGCCTTTGATAAGGTCCTTCACCAAAGGCTTTTAAGTGAAGTAAGCTGTCATGGGATAAGAGAGAAGGTCCTTTCATGGATTGATAACTGGTTAAAAGACAGGAAATAAAGGGTAGAAATAAATGGTAAATTTTCAGAATGGAGAGAGGTAACTAGTATTGTCCTGGGACTATTCCTATACAACCTATTTATAAATGATCTGGAGAAAGGGGTAAACCGTGAGGTGGCAGAATTTGCAGATGATACTAAACAGCTCAAGATAGTTGAGACCAAAGCAGACTGTGAAGAGCTTCAAAAAAAATCTCACCAAACTAAGAGATTGGTCAACAAAAGGGCAAATGAAATGTAATGTTGATAAATGTCAAAAAAGCAAACAGAATGTTAGGAATCATTTAAAAAGGGATTGGGAATAAGACAGAGAATATCTTATTGCCTCTATATAAAACCATGGTATGCCCACATCTTGAATACTGTGTATAGATGGAGTTGCCTCATCTCAAAGATTGGAAAAGGTTCAGAGAAGGGCAACAAAAATGGTTAGGGGTTTTCAATAGGTCCCATATAATGAGAGCTTAAAAAGAGGAGAATAAGGGAGGATATGATAGAGGTCTATAAAATCATGACTGGTGTGGAAAAAGTGAATAATGAAAAGTGATTTACTTGTTCCCATTTTATAAGTACTAAGGGTCGCCAAATGAAATTAATAGGTAGCAGATTTAAAACAAACAAAAGGATGTTTTTCTTCATGCAGCACACAGTCAACCTGTGCATCTCCTTGCCAGAGGATGTTGTGAAGACTATACTCCATTTATTACATTGACTAAGAGCTCAGTGTCTCTGGGTATGTCTACACTACCACCCTAGTTCGAACTAGGGTGGGTAATGTAGGCAACCAGAGTTGCAAATGAAGCCCGGGAAATTCAAATCCCGGGCTTCATTTGCAACTCTGGTTGCCTACATTACCCACCCTAGTTCGAACTAGGGTGGGTAATGTAGGCAACCAGAGTTGCAAATGAAGCCCGGGAAATTCAAATCCCGGGCTTCATTTGCAACTCTGGTTGCCTACATTACCCACCCTAGTTCGAACTAGGGTGGGTAATGTAGGCAACCAGAGTTGCAAATGAAGCCCGGGAAATTCAAATCCCGGGCTTCATTTGCAACTCTGGTTGCCTACATTACCCACCCTAGTTCGAACTAGGGTGGGTAATGTAGGCAACCAGAGTTGCAAATGAAGCCCGGGAAATTCAAATCCCGGGCTTCATTTGCAACTCTGGTTGCCTACATTACCCACCCTAGTTCGAACTAGGGTGGTAGTGTAGACATACCCTCTGTAATTTGCTACTAATCCAATTTATTTAGTCTCTTTTAAACATATACTTGTAAGTATTATAATAAAAAGTACTCTACAGATACAGAGAAACAATGGAAAGGTAAATCCCAAAGCAAATAACTCTGCATGTATTGCACTTCATAGGTTGCTTCATTCAGAGTTTATATGGAGAATAACTCTATGCCCAATAGGCAAAGTGTATTGTAATACCACTGTTAAATTAATAATCGTTTATTACAGCAAGCCCAACACATAAACATAAGAACATAAGAATGGCCACACTGGATCAGACCAAAGGTCCATCCAGCCCAGGACCCTGTCTGCTGACAGTGGACAATGCCAGGTGTCCCAGAGGGAGTGAATCGAACAGGTAATGATCAAGCGATCTCTCTCTTGCCATTCATCTCCACCCTTTGACAAACAGAGGGTAGGGACACCATTCCTTACCCATACTGGCTAATAGCCATTTATGGACTTAACCTCCATTAATTTATCTAGTTTTCTTTTAAACCCTGTTATAATCCTAGCTTTCACAACCTCCTCAGGCAAGGAGTTCCACAGATTGACTATTCACTGTGTGAAGAAGAACTTCCTTTTATTTGTTTTAAACCTGCTGCCCATTAGTTTCATTTGGTGGCCCCTAGTTCTTATATTATGGCAACAAGTAAATAACTTTTCCTTATTTGTCTGAAGCCATTCTTCTATCTACCTCACCCCCTCATCTCTGAGTCACACTAGGATTCTGTACCCTTTTCCTCACATTGGATTGTTTTGGCTGGAAGTTGATGGACACATATGTTACTCCCTGCTGCACATTCTTTAGTTCTTAACTTTTACAGCAGCTTGATTTTGATCTTTGAACAGTTTGTTCAGTGGAGGAAGTGGAGGCAAGAGAAAGATAGTGTGATCCCATATTGCTCTTGATATTGTGCAATAAATACTATTCTGGTTTTTCCTCAGGCCAGTAAAATAGCTACTGCTGCTATTGATACCTGAGTTATAAAGGGGCTAAACGGTCACTCTTCTATAACTCTACAAATCCCTCTCATGTTCCTGAACATGTTTATTGAATTGTGCTGGAAAGAAACTTCACATACTGGACGTTGACTCTTTGAGTCAAATTTTATACTCGCCTCTAATTATGTGTATAAAGATTTTTTGTCAAATCTAGAATTTGCACTTATTTATGAATGCAAATATGGTTTTGTACATGCAAAAGATATGCATTTTTGAGAGGCAAATTTAGAAAGAACTACGGAACATTTGGCCTCTTTTTCTTGCCAGAAAGTTCTAGTGACAGTAGATAGAGCAGCAACAATATGGACTCTTTTTCCATTTTTAATATATTTATTTTGCCAATCTTTACCCTCTGCCTTTTAAAACACACACAATAGTCCAAGTATGAACTCAACCAAAGAACAACAATCTTGGTCAAAATGAGAATATGACAGCTTCAATGACTTCTCTAATCACAGGGTATGTCTACACTACCCTCCTAGTTCGAACTAGGAGGGTAGTGTAGACATACCCTGTGATTGTATTAGATATTCCCTGTAAAGACAACTGCTAAGTATTTGCAACTATATTTTTAGAATGCCAAAAGTTTCATGACTTTCAAAATCTATGATTAATGGTGCAAAATCTTATATCACAGAAGAATGCTTTGTGATTAGCACTTTAGTTAAATGATTCAGCCATCCAATCAGGAGCAGGGACAATACCACATGACTTGGATGATCAGTCACAAAAAATCCCAGTGAGAATCTGAGCAAAAAGTTAATGCTAAACAATCACACACAATCTGAAAATGGTTCATTCAAAATATTTAGGTAAGATATAGGAATAATGAACACAGTCAATATCAGGATGGATTTGTGTAATATTTATAACAAAATAAGAAGCTAACATCCACATTCTGTAAACATGTGTATTCTTAATGTTACTCTCATGTTTGCAGCTCCTGGGACCCAAACACTTAATTTTGGTTAGTTAATTTTTCAGGCACTCATCCAGATAGTCA